TCCTGCCCTTCAACCACTGTTGGTTCTTCAGACCAATCGCCCCCTCCCACCTCCTTTTGCCCTGCCCCACCGACCTGCTGATGATTTATTGAAAAGGAGATTTTGCCCAGACAGACTCCTCTTGGAAAGAGCGTGAGTCTAGATAACTGGGGCACAACATTTCAGGATATGCTCACCGGTTTGATTGTAATCCTTACAATGGTCGTATCCAATAAACCGATACTACAACTTCCAGTCTGAATAACTTTAGCCATGATCCTGCTCGCGAGAGCACCTGGTCATATTTTTATTGGCTACATTGGGTAACTGCGAAGGACCCGGATTCTTGGCGAACATTTACTTGAGGACTATTTGAGGAGTTTATCAAAACACTGTTGCGTTTGAGCTGTTCTAGTTGCTCAGTTATTTGCATCGACATGCTTTCAGTACTTCCAAAAACTATATTTATTCATTCAACATGGGCATCCGAGCTTTTAGCGTCCCGTTTTCCTTAATAAAAATCGTTAATTCTAACAAACTTAATATTACCTTCAAAACTTGTTCGGTCGCACAACTGGAGGCCTTTCGAATTCAGGTAGCTGTAGTTAAATTAAGTTCTAACTAATTAGGGAATATTTTATGAATTTATGCAAATTTAATGAAGTTTGTCATATATTAGACAAAACCTATAAGGAAAAATATGCAACTGCTAGTAATCGAAAAAGGTAGAGAAGGGGTGCAAGAGAGCGGACAGGATTGGAAGTAAGAAATCTCATCTCTGACCTATATTTTATACCACGGTGATAACAGTATGCTCCATGATTCAAACGCACTTTAGAACTCTAGTTGCAGGCGGTAGCCTCCGAGGAGTACTGCAGTGCCGGATTATACCTGTCGGAGATCCAGTTGTTGGAAAAGAAATTCAAGAATAAAAGGGGAAAAATTGAACTCCTACCGTATTATAGGTGACCGTTCGTTATATTTCAGACAGGATAGGACTAAAAGGGCAAGTGCTAGTGTTCGGGTCGGAATTAAAGTCGAGACATGGGAAGAGGCGACCCTTGGGAGTTTAGCACGAGCCCAGCTCTAGTAGATGAGAGTTTATGTTTCTGTGTCCTACCGAAGAAAGCACCATGTCTCACTTAGTAAAACAACCCTTGGACTCGATCGAGATAGGCTAGGCTCAAAATCATTCACCATAAACTCTAATGGAGCCGGTAAAAAGGCCGCACAGTGTAATTACAGAAAAGGGACGAAAAAACAGTATTTTTTATTGTTTTGACTTTTCATGGAAACGTTAAGAGTAGTTTAAGTAATGGAGTTCATATGCCCTAAGCCCCAGCATTCTGTCTTACGGGACCGATGGTAATAGGGGTTTTATGGGTGGGGAATTAGGAAAGGCAGTGAAGGAAACTTGTAGAAGTAGTTGTATAGTGGTAAACCAGATCCGTTTTGTGGTTTTAACCAGTGCGGCATCGACGATGCGATGCAGAACTATTTTGGAATACTTGAATATACTTGAATAACTACTAAATGCTTTTTCTTTATTAATCCCATTGTTCCCTGACCTGCCACAAATTTACGCATAAATTCTGACAGTAAAAGCCGCGTGAACACAAATCGACTGCGCAACTAGTGCTTTACTCCTTCACTTATGAGAATTGCAGGCATATATATGCAATCCATGTCAATCTCATGCAGCAGCAGTAGATGAAATATTCATATATCATCTCATATGATCATTGCCCAGGCAGTATGGACTGAGAGGTGAGAGTAGTCATTTCACTAGAATTATGCATTTAAAAATAAAGCTAGGACATATGCAACACAAATTTGGTCAAGTTAACCTTCATATACATCAGAAGGGTAAGTTATCCTGTAACAGAGTGTGGGACGGGTTTTCCCTCAGATTCTGCAGATGAAATCTAACCGAAGTAAGTAGGTGTTATTTAGGTGCCTGCTTAATTTTGGGTGCAATCCACGTAGCGTAATGGGATAAAATAGGCTCAAATTACAAGGAGAGTCACCACAGGATTGCTCATCATTCTAAACAGAATGTTAAGGTTCTTAGCATAACGCAGGAGATAGCCAGGGCTTCGGTAATGGACGTGCAGGGCATTTGTGACAAAATGTGCTTTGCAGAATTCGGTAAGAAAATACACCCCACAAAAGAGGATGTCGAAGTACTGATTTTCAGTTGGTTATTATGGGTGGACAAGGAAACGAATCCAGAGGGCAAGTAAGTCTTTGCGCGCCTGATAACGATCTTCTGACATGCTGAGCTGGCATTCAGACTTCTCTTTACAGACAAGGCGGAAAACGGGGGGGGAGCGTGGCACAGGCGTCCAGTAAGAGTGGATGTGGCAAGCAGAAGAGAGCAACCACTTATTGACCCTGCACGAACAGTACAAAGAACCACAGAGGGGAACAAACAAAGTGCTCCCTTCAGACGAGGGTATCAAAGCGAAAAAGGGACAAATGAGTGGGGATTCAGAGGCATGTTGTACATTGTCGTACCGAGAAAACAAAGGAGAAGATAAAGAAATAAAATAGAGCACTCACTTGCATCTCTGTTGAACGGCATCGGCCAGCTTGGCGCAAATGAGCTGTAGGATGGGCTGCATCCTACAGTAGGAGGGCAGGGCGACCTCCTCCGGGTAGGTTGGAGATGAAGCGCAGAACTGGGCAAGCCTCGAAGACGCATTGTTGGTGGCACTACCACCCACTGGAACACCCAACACTAAAACCAGTTCCGAGTGAACGTGCGACAAATTGCACATCGCCGCACTCACCATACTCTCCATGGTGCCTACCGAGAGGGCAATAAGAAATAAAAAGTTGGAAGGCAGTTGCACGAACTACTGACAAAATTAAAGTAGAGGGCTATTTACTTGGATCTGGATGGGTGTCTTCCGACTGGCGGGATGGCGGCAGCGTGCGGAAGGGTGCACAGAGCCAACCGCCGCGAACGTGCACATAGCGATCCACGAGGGAATCCGTGATAGCCTTCCATGACTCAATTACACGAGCCTTCAAGTCTGCAACATTGGCGTAACCGGCAGAAGCATAGGCGTTAAAAACTTGTGTGTTAATGCGGCGCGCGGCCCAGTCGGCATTAGTGACTAGGAGAAGGAATCCGCGGGCCTAACGAGAGGGGGTAGCGGGGGAGGAGGAAGCAGAACAGGTCGGTAATAATTCTAAATAAGTCGGTTAAAATTTCAATT